TTAGGGCTTCAGCATATTAATTTTGGAGGTGAACAAATATTTATTCTACAAAATATTTTCTTTTTGACTAAACAACTTTTTTAAAACATATTTTTCAGAAAAGATCTGCTGGTGATAAACACTTGCAAGCTTTATTAGTCTGACAACATATTTGTTATTCATATTTTTAGGATAATTTTGCTGGATACTGAATTTCAGACTGCTAAGGATTTTTCTTTCAAGATTTGAAATATTATACTTAGCATTTTTCTTGCTTGCTTGTTTTTGATGATGAGTCTGCAATATTTATTATTCTTAGGAATTGTGTTATTCATCTATATTCTCTCAAATTATATTTTTAGTTTTTACTTCAATATTATATTAGTATTCTGTAGTATATATACTGCTTTGTATTATCGGACCTTTCATTGATATTTTTTGTTAATTTAAGTTCTCTGCTTTCACAATTTAGTTATTCTACTAAATTTAGAAAAATTAATATCTAGATATTTATTCTCCTGAATTACCTTTTTTTCTCATATTCAATACATGTTATATACCTCTTGATATTTTCTCACATATTTGGAAGTCTGTCTTCTTTTCTGAATTTCTTTTAGGGCTGGAGCTATAGCACAGCTGTAGGGTGTTTGCCTTGCACGCAGCCAGCCCTGCCGAGCCGGGTTCGATTCCTCTGCCCCTCTCGGAGATCCCAGCAAGCTACCGAGAGTATATCGCCCGCAAAGCCTGGCAAGCTACCCGTGACTTATTCAATATGCCAAATACAGTAACAACAAGTCTCACAATGGAGAGGTTATTGGGCCTGCTCGAGTAAATCGATGAACAACGGGAGGACGGACAGTGACAGTCTCACATTTGATTTTGAAAATTACTATTGATCTATTTTTAAAATTACTTATTCTTCTTTAGCAATGTCAGGTCTACTAATGAACTCATCAAAAATTATTCTTTATTTTTCTTACAGTGCATTTTAATACTTCTTAGAGCTTCCTTCCTTCCACTTATTCATCTATTCTTTCTATTTTCTACTTTTTATCATCATATACATTGACATATTAATTATATCCATTTTATATGCCTTGAGTGATCATTTTAAAGGCTATGTTATAGCTAAGTCTGATATTCACAATTGCTTTATCTCTTCAGAATGTTTTCATTCGAGCTGTTTTGTATTTTGTCATGTCTAATAATTATTTTTTTACTGAATTCTATGCAAAATATATCAACTAAAACAAATTGAGAAACTAATCTTTAACAGGTATATTTTAATTAGTCTGTCTAGACTAATTAACTCTAGACAGACTCTGCCTTTTCTGATTATATAGAGACTAGAGATAAATCATTCAAATTATTGTTTTAGCTGCAAATATGTACTATTCTAACAAAATCTAAAGAGGCAAAAGTACTCTGAAATCTTCTGGTTAAATAACCTCAGATTTTTTAACACACCTTTTCCCTATGCTATGGATTTCATATGTGTTTCCTCTTACCTGAAAACTTTTCTACCATCAGTTTTCTTTTTGGAGGGGGGGGTTCACACCTGGCAATGCACAGGGCTTACTCCTGGCTCTACACTCAGGAATCACCCCTGGTGGTGCTCAGAGGACCATATGGGATGCTGGGAATCAAACTCATGTTGGTTACATAGAAGACAAATGCCCTACACACTGTACTATCACTCCAGCCCACCAATATTTTTTTGTTTGTTGTTTACATCCCGAAGTGTTCAGGGTGTTGTTTCTGGCTCTGTGCTCAGGAATAACTCCTGATGTGGCCCGTGGAACTATATAAATGATAGGGATGGAATCTGAGTTTGCTATGTGCAAGGCAAGAGCCCTACCCACTGTAACTACCCACTGTTCCAGTCCTTACCATCTAATCTTTTTTTCCCTTTTCCGTAGCTGCAGTATTCCCAATTCATCTTTTTAAAAGAAGAAAAGAGGGGCAGGGTAGGAGAAATGTCATTTCTCTGTGGAATCAGGTTATAATTATGGGAATATTTTTTTTCTGAAGTGTTGGGCTTTATACAGAGATTTGGGTAGGATTTTGTAAGGACTATTCTTTCCTCCCCTTTTTAGATGCATAGAGTTATTTCTCCTTTATCTTCAGTTAAAAAAAATGCTAATGTTTCTAGAGGTAAAAAACCCAGTGAATTGTGGTCTGATTATCACCAATAAGACTGTGGCCACTAATTATTTCAAAGTATCGTGCTAATTCACATCAGCTTCAAGCTGTTTACCAAAATTTTCACAGACATGTTCCTGCCACTTTATTGCACTTGCCTTCCATTTCTATTCGAGGAAAAAGTAGAACAAGGTTGTAGGCTTCCCTGAATAGCCCTTTATCTAGAGATTTCAAGATCATGGAGTAGTGGCTCCACCATGATTATGGTTTGCTGGCTTCACCATGTTGGTGCTCATTTTTTGATTGACTCAAGAAAAATGCTTTGATTTTTAGGTGGCTCAGCATTTTCTTCTTGTAAGGCTAGAGGTGGTAACATTCAATCACTCTATATGTCAGAACTGAAGTCAGCAGTCTAGATTTTTGAAACAGTTTTATTTTTCACATATAATTTATGTTAGGCATTCAAATTTGAATTTCTGAAAGACTTTGTCATAGAAATCGCCCTTTACCTACCTCTTACATAATCTTCATGTCTGCTTCATTATTGAATGGTATTTTATCCCCACCAAGTTACCTGGAAGGTTTAACTGTTTTTTATATTTTTATATACTATGTGAATAATATTGACTCATTACTACATGCTAGAAATTATAGATAGAAAATATTTTATTATAACATATCTAAATAAAAATTATAACAAATTGTTCAAACATAACTCTAGCAGAAGCTTTACTTTTAAAGAACAATCATTTTCAAAACTGCAGCTCCTCACTTCTGGTTTTTATTCTCTCCTTCACCACTTTTAACTCTTTTTTGTGGTGCTTTATGGATTTTGTAATTGAAAATTTAAAGTCTGGGCTAATGAACGTGTCAGAGAATGGAACAAAGTGCAGCCTCATACTTCTTGACAATAAATGTTTAATCCCTGTTTCTTGAGAGACTTCAGAAAACTCTAGTAATTGAGGAAGCAAAAATATCTAACCCTAGAGTACCACTTTTTATGAATACTGTGTGGTTAACAACACACAAGGGATCTTTTAAAAACAGAGCATTGATGTTCAGTAAGTTTACCCTTTGACAAATGATTGTTTTACTGTATACAATGCACACTACAAAACTTTTACTGCTGTTACACAGAAGAGTAATAAAATGAGATGCATCTTTTTACCCCTATATTTATATATTCTATCTATCTCTATGACAAAGAATTATATTTACCTGATAGAGGTACAAAAAAATCCTAGGAAAATTTGTGCAGAATTGATGCAATTAGCAACAAACCAAACTAGGGAGCACCTTTTGGTTTCACAGTGAATGACCTAAGCTTTGTTTTGGTAGTGACAATGTCTTCTCTTCCTTTCATAATCTAGTAATAAAACTAGAGACCTATGTATTCTCCATAACAGTTTACACTTCAAAAGAATTGCCAAACAAGGTTTTCTTTCAATTAAAAAAATGATGTATTGATGTATCATTGTTTGAAACTGAACAAACGTTAATGTCTTAGGACTATAAAGTTATTGTTCCACATTTACCTCAGAGTGTTTTCCACTGATCTTAAGTCCCTTATTACCTATCATTATCTTATAGTAACTTCAAAAATAATACAAACATGAAGGAATAGTTCAAATTTTATTATTTATGAGTTATGTTCCATATTATTGGTATAGAATTCAAGACTTTTCAACTTCTTCCTTACCTCTCCCCCATGCCTTTACTACGAGTCCAAAGAGAAATTTTTCCAGATGTAATATTATATAGAAATAACAATACACTCCATTAATTACTATCTCTAAGGAAGAAGCATGTGACAGATCTTACAGAATCAGCTCAAAAGACAGAAAATCCAGAGCATTCATTATATATATTTTCCTGACACAGCACATTAAAATCTGAAGAGGAAAAAAAAAGACCGTCTTATATTAAAGTCAGCAAAAACGAAAACAAAACAATTCTCCTATTTGCACACCTCTGGACATTTGGAAGATTATGCATTATGCTACAAATATTATTTTCCAAAGATTCCATATAGTTTAGTGGCTACAACATGGAATTAACAATTAAAGTAAAGTAAAATCTGCTATTTATTATTGTCTCTGTGGTACTCTAAGAGGTTTATGACCTCTCTGTTCCTTGTACATAAATGAATGCTTATCTTTAAAGGTTGTAGTTGAGTTTTATGAGACAGTGAAAGTAAACACCTAGAAAGAGTTAGCATCACTCTCCAAAATAAATAGATTAACAAAAGTTTATTTCCTGTTGCTTTGCAATTATTCTTTAAGCAAATGTGATCTAAAATATATCCACTAGGGCTTAATTACTTAAACCACTGGTAACCTGAAAAAATAGTCCTTGTAAGTAAATCAACTCTTTCATTTGCTTAGCAATCTTTATGTTTCATCTGGTGAATGCATTCTCTTTCTTCTTTAGGTTTTTTTCCTAATTATCTTAAGTCGTAAGTTTTAAAATAAATTTGCTATCTTAGACAACTTGTATGCTAGGTGCACTGAAGAAGTCAACTCTAGTCTAACCAAAGAACACCACTTCCTTATCAAAATGATTGAACTAAAGAATTGGTTGATTGAAATAACTAATGATTGAAAATAAACCAAGAAAAATCTTAATATTTCTCAGGGCCTCTAAAATATTTCTCTAGAAAGACAGGAATTCTTTCCTATCAGGGCTGGAGAGATGGTTCAGTGGGCAATGGGCTTGCAGTGCAAAACCTGAGTCTGATTCCTGGCACGGGAGCACCACCAACAGTCATCCCTGAACATATAGCCAGAAGTATGTATTGTGAGTACTGTGAGGTGTGGCTCTAACCTCCCACCCTCTACCCCCACAATAAAATTAATTCTTTCATATTTCAATGAATATTTATTGCTTTTTGGCCTTTGGCTAAGATCAAGTATAGTATCTGTTTTTATCAGTTTAATAATTAATATGTCCTGTATCCATGGACAATGTATTAATTGGATTTTTGGAGCAGGGAGTTGGAATAGAGCTTGCTCCATCCACTCCACCCATCAACCTGGTATTGCAGTATCTTTAGGAATGGTGCACCTCCCTCAATTAAAAAAGAGAAAAGAAATATGCAATGGGAATGAGGCATGGCAAATTTCCGCTCCTTAAGGAAAATCTGGACAATTTGCGGACCCGCGTGGCAGCTCCGGCCGAGACTCATGCACGACTGAAGACCCACAGAACAAGATAAGTGGAACTCTCTGAGACCTTGGACTCCAGACTCAGCAGACCCAGGGACAGAGCTTCTCTTCTTGCTCCCACCACCACAGGTGACAAAGGGATTCTAATCAGGAGCCCCACCCTACCCTGCCCTGTCTGCTTCCATCAACCACCCAGGGATCAAATTGCGCACAGGAGACCCACCCTACCCAGATAAATACCCCACTGGCAGACTTCCACTCTCGACATTACTTCCACTACCCAGCCATCGCCACACTCCAGGACGCTTTCCGGACACATCATAAGACACTAAATACCCATCTTCCGGAATTGTCGTACCATATTTGATAGGGTTCAAATATGGTAACACCTACAAGGGTGATTAGAGGTCGCCCCAAAAGCCTCTATCCCTCTCGGAAAGACTGGCAAGCTACCGAGAGTATTCCGCCCGCACGAAAGAGCCTGGCAAGCTATCCGCTGTGTATTCGATATGCCAAAACCAGTAACTACAACTGGTCTCATTCACCTGACCCTGAAGGCTTCACCGACACGGCAGCACTGAGAAGGATGAGAAAGGAGAGGCCGACAAAATCTCAAGGCCGACGTAGGCTGCCACAACGAAGGAAGACAAAAATGATCGTCTGTACTTTCAATGCATGTACGCTAGCATCAGATGCATGCATCGAGGACCTGATGGTACAAGCGCGAATGATCAAGTACGACATCATTGGTCTGACCGAGACAAGAAGGCACGAATCTCACCACGCCGTTTTCGACACTGGAGAAGAATTGTTCCTCGGAACATGCGATAAAAGAGGTGTTGGAGGCGTCGGTGTCCTTGTCAACACAAACTTGGCCAAGAGCATTGATTCATTTGAATGCCTAACAACCCGAATCGGACGTTTACATTTGAATAGATGTGACTCACTGCCTGCAGTTTCTATCTTCGTTGTCTACGCACCAACATCTCATTATGATGAAAGAGAAATCGAGAAGTTCTACACGGAGCTAGAGAAGTTCTATAAAGAAGACCACACCTTCTACAAGACCATTGTGGGTGATTTTAATGCCAAGATAGGACCGAGAAGATCAGCTGAAGAACTTCACATCGGGACCCATGGCCTAGAATGGAATGAACAGGGTGAGAGACTGTTTGAGTTCATCATGTCGACCAAGACCATTCATGGTAACTCACAGTTCCAGAAGGCAGAATCTAAACGATGGACATGGGAATCTCCTGGTGGACGATTCCACAACGATATTTCTACATCATATTCAATCGACGGTTTTGCCTGACTGATGTCGCTGTTGTCCCAAAATTTCGAATGGGATCGGACCACCGTCTCCTTCATGCAAAATTCTATTTCACAGAGCTGGGAGAGAGGGCTGCAAATTTCAAAAAGAGAACTCCCAGAATGACCAACAACTGGGAACTCTTTGATACTATTGCGGCAACATGGGAAGATGCCATTGTTGACAACATTGACGAGGAATACAATCGACTGGTTCAGCACCTCCATGAATGTGCGAGGAACGCCAAGAGATAGCCACAAAAAATCGCCTATCTTCGAAAACTCTTGAGCTAATTCGCCAGCGTGGTTTGGCGCATGCCTCAGGCAACCGCAAGCTAACGTCCGAGCTCGCAAAGCAATGCAGAGATGCGATCAAGGAAGACCTCAAAGAGAGAAGAGCAGAAGTACTGGTAGATGCGGCAGAAGCTGGGAAAAGTATTCGTAACGCCCGCCTGACCTTCGCCAACTATAAGACCAAGATGACTGCCCTGCGACATCCTGATGGATCCATCACATCCTCGAGAACGGCAATGGAGAAGATTATCCATGACTTCTACTCAAATCTCTTCGATAGCCATGTCCACTTGCCGACATACCAAAAACCACAGGATGGTTATGTCATTCCCAAGGTTCTCCCTTCCAAAATCCGACACGCCATTTCGTCAGTAAAGAAACAAACAGCACCCGGCCCAGACAAGGTCAGTACTCATCAATACACTGGCTCGGCTCTTCACTCGCTACCTGTCTGAATGCAAGGTTCCGTCCCAATGGAAAACCAGCAGGACCGTACTACTGTTCAAGAAGGGAGACATCCATGACATTGGCAACTTTCGCCCGATCTGCCTATTGTCTGTCATCTACAAGTTGTTCACTCGAGTCATCCTGAATAGGATTGGCAGAACACTAGATGAAGGACAACCATGCGAGCAAGCAGGGTTCCACAAAGGATTCAGCACCATCGACCATATCCACACAATAACCAAGCTCATTGAGGTTTCTCGGGAGTTCAAGATGCCACTCTGTTTAACGTTCATTGATTTAAAGAAGGCCTTTGATTCTGTTGAGACGGAAGCGGTCATTGAAGCCCTAGCCAATCAGGGCATTCAAGCCCAATACATCAGGATCCTCCATGAGCTGTATTGCGGATTCACTACCAGGATCTAACCATTCTACAAAGAAGTGATCGTTGATGTCAAGAGAGGGGTGCGGCAGGGTGATACCATTTCACCGAAACTCTTCAGTGCCACCCTCGAGAACATCATGCAACGACTGGAATGGGAAGGAATGGGAGTGAAGATAGATGGTCGGCAACTACACCACCTCCGCTTTGCTGATGACATTGTTTTAATAACACCAAACATCAGCCAAGCAGCATAAATGCTGGCCGACTTTGATCGTGAGTGTGGAAAGGTAGGACTACAGCTGAATCTTACGAAGACAATGTTTATGAGAAACAGTCTTGTTCCTGACGCCCCATTCGCTCTCAATGGAACGACCATCTCTGAATGCAACAGCTATGTGTACCAGGTTGAGAGGTCAACATGACAAATGACCTGGCACCCGAGCTGCACAGGAGGAAGAGAGCGGCTTGGAACACCTTCAAGAACGTAAAGAAATAGCTAAGAGGACGAAGAACCTCCGGCTCCGGGCACATTTCTTTGATTCCACTGTTCTTCCTGCATTAACATATGCCTCAGAGACCTGGGCCCTATGCAAACAAGATGAGAACGCTATTCAGGTCTCCCAAAGAAGAATAGAAAGAGCTATGCTTGGAATATCACGTTTCACTCAAATGAGAGAAAGAATCCAGAGTTCTGACATCCTTCGATGATCAAGAATCAGGGACACTGTCTCATTTGCCAAGGTGTCGAAAATCAGATGGGCTGGTCACGTAATGAGATTTAAAGACAACCACTGGACTAGAGCTGTTACTGACTGGATTCCACGGGATGTCAAAAGACCGCGTGGCCGCCCACCTTCCAGATGGTCAGACTTCTTCGTCAAGATCATGAACGATCGGTTTGAGGCCCTTCATGTTCCCGGAGCAAACAGATGCCATTGGGCTACACTAGCACGCAACAGGGACAAATGGAAACATTACTGGCGCCCGCTCGAGCAAATCGACGACTAACGGGAAGTTAAGTGATTAAGTGATTAAGGAAAATCTAAACTGCAGAATAAAGGAAGGAATTAACACTGGTTCTGGTTTGTGGGCCACACATAGTGGTGCTCAGGGCGTACTCCTGGCAGTGACTCAAGTTGCTCATATGCAAAGCAAGAACCCTGCCTGCTATACTATTGCTGTAGGCCTTATTGTTCCATTATTACTTGGTAACAAGGCATTCCTTTGTAGCAATGTTCACAATAGCCAGAATCTGGAAACAACCCAAGTGCCTGAGAACAGATGACTGGTTAAAGAAACTTTGGTACATCTACACAATGGAATACTATGCAGCTGTTAGGAAATAGGAAGTCATGAAATTTGCTTATAAGTGGATGGTCATGGAGAATATCATGCTAAGTGAAATGAGTCAGAAAGACAGAGACAGACATAACATTATTGAACTAATTTGTGGAATATAAAATATCATATTATGAGACTAATACCCAAGGACAGTAGAAACAAGGGTCAGGAAGATTTCTTCATGGGTGGAAGCCTGCCTCATGAGCTGGGGAAGAAGGCAGGTAGGATAGAGAAGGGAACACTAAGTCAATGATGGTTGGAGTGATCTTTCATGATGGGAGATGTGTGCTGAAAGTAAATGAAGGACCAATAACAATGGCATCTCACTATCTGTATTTCAAACCGTAACACACATAAGTAGAGTCACTTGATCACTTGATCACTTGACTTCCCGTTAATCATCGATTTGCTCGAGCGGGCGCCAGTAACGTCTCCATTTGTCCCTGTCGCGTGCTAGTGTAGCCCAATGGTGTCTGTTTGCTCGAGGAACATGAAGAGCCTCAAACAGATCGTTCATGATCTTGATGAAGAAGTCTGACCATCTGGTAGGTGGGCGGCCATGCGGTCTTTTGACATCCTGTGGAATCCAGTCTGTAACAGCTCTAGACCAGCGGTTGTCTTTAAATCTCATTACGTGACCAGCCCATCTGATTTTTGACACCTTGGCAAACAAGACAGTGTCCCTGATTCTTGATGGTCGATGGAGGTCAGAACTCCAGATTCTTTCTCTTATTTGAGTGAAACGTGATATTCCAAGCATAGCTCTTTCAATTCCTCTTTGGGAGACCTGAATAGCGTTCTCGTCCTGTTTGCATAGGGCCCAGTTCTCTGAGGCATATGTTAATGCAGGAAGAACAGTGGAATCAAAGAGATGTGCCCGGAGCCGGAGGTTCTTCATCCTCTTAGCTATTTCTTTGATGCTCTTGAAGGCATTCCAAGCTGCTCTCTTCCTCCTGTGCAGCTCGAGTGCCAGGTCATTTGTCATGTTGACTTCTCGACCTAGGTACACATAGCTGTTGCATTCGGAGATGGTTGTTCCGTTGAGAGCGAATGGGCATCAGGAATGAGGCTGTTTCTCATAAACATTGTCTTCGTAAGAATCAGCTGTAGTCTGACCTTACCACACTCA